CCTTTCCCGACTGCGCGGCCTCGCGGGCCAGCAAACTACGCCCCGTCCTGGCGTCTCACGGAGGATGCCCAGGAGTTCCTTGATCAAGTCATTGGAATGGAGTCCGGGATCGAGGCCCGCATGCTGGCTCTGAAGTCGACGCGCCAGATCTTTGCCGGCGACATGGCGAAGGCTATCAGCATCCGCACTGACACACCGATCAAGCTGCCCAGCATCCCGAGAGTAGGCCAGCCCAAGATCCGCCGGGTGCTAGGAGCTGCCAGCGAGACGGAACACAGGGCCAGTTGGAGAAGCCTTTCGATCCCAATCAGATGGCTGCAAACAAAGTAACGGACGTCATCCGGCGAGCCCATTTCGATGAAGAGTTTTACACTTCGGAGATGTTGACCAGTATCCAGTCACCACCCCCTGGGCTCGAAGGCACTGAAGAGCTTGCTCGTTTGCTGGCAAGTGTTCGAACGGCTTCAGGCGCAGCAACTCAGGATCAGGACAGCGGCCAGATGGACCCGCAACTGGTCCTGAAGCATTTGAACCAAACGCTTTTGTGGATCGAGTGCTGCAAGCTGAGGAGGCCAAGGATCGCCAAAGCGAAACCACTTCTTGGAACAACTGCGTCCAGGAGGCCATGTCTCGCGGGGCCGGGCGGGCTCATCATTGGACGTCGAAGCCCACGGCCTGGCAGCCTCCGAAAGTTTGGCGCCCCATTTGAGTTGCCTCAGCCCGGAGCATCTCGACTGGCGAGCCCATGGCAGGCCGCGCCGCGGGATCCGGACTTCAACTCGCCTTCGTCCGAGCGTGACCAGCTGGAGCCCATCGCGCCTGAACAGATCAGATCGGCAGGCAGCCAAAGGGTTTCCCATGTCTACCAGTCAGACCCGGATGTTTTTCATCCCCGTCACTTCGCATATTTTGGTAACGGTGAGTTAGATTACGTGTATAAGTTTTGGGCTGCGACCGAAGAGAGTGGACCTCTTCCCGCAGCTATCCGCAACGTTACAATAGCTTCGATTGAGAAACACAAAGCCGACCAGTCTGAGGGCCCATCGTGGTCTGCCCCCCGCTCTCTGAACGGCGCGGCCCCAAAACCGTCAACTGGAAGCCCGCAAGTGGGAATGGGCCAACAAGGGACCCTATCTTGCCCATCAGTCTGGTCGAGGAGTGCTAGAAACGATGTGTGTACAGGCCCGTAAGTTCGAGCTAGCTGGCTATCGGGCTGCGCATGCTGGAGGTCTTCTGTGGGACTTACCTAACTATATATATATACACATATAGATAAACATAAACGTGAGTCGGCAGAAATGGAAGTCTCGGGCTCTTTCATCGGGGCTCTCGGAGACTCCCGTCTGCCTCATGATGAACCAATGCGGGAGACCTCGGGTCGCTGCCGCCAGAACTTTGGCCATGCATGGTCGTGCTACGAAAGGCTTCCCTGATGGCTGCTCGCTCGCGACGCGCAGCGTTCGCGTGCATCCGGTGCCCCCCATGGACTTCTGGGCCCCGAAGCCCCCCACCGTGGACATCTTCATCGGCGGTTCCATGCTGGCCAGCCACGACGCTGGCATCCGTCCGCTGGCATCGGATGCGGCACTGGCCGCTGACAGCACGCTTGATTCAATCGACGAGGACCTCGACTGCACCGTCGCCTTGCACAAGGCGGCTGCGCCGGGCTCGCCCGCCGAGCTGCAGCAGCGCCTCCAAACCCGCTGGCAAGCATAGTGGGCCCGCAGGGGCCAATCGGTCGTCGCCCGCGCCAAACCTCGGAGTCGATTTCACCGGGGGGGACAAGGCCTCGAAAAAAGGCCCGAAAGACGCTGCAGAAACGAGCAGCTAAGATGAAACGACGACTCCACCGCTTAGCGCAGCTATGGCGCGCAGGCGCATGCATGATAAGGATTTATCAGACAGGCATGGCGGCCGCTCACTACGGCGCCGAGGTCGTCGGCCTCGCGAACCCCGAGCTGCGCTGGCACAGCCCTTGTATCTGAAGATTGTAGGATCCCGCTCCCTGGCTGCATCTATCTCGGGGGGGCGATCTGGAGCGCCGCCCTGGGGCCGGCTTGGTAAAACTTGGTCTGGAGGGTTGCTCACTATCCCGGAACCGCCTGCTTCACCCTGCCAGAGCTCACGGCCCAAGCCCTGGAAGGTCTCAACAAGCCCCCGACGAAATTGTCTCAGATCCGAAGTCCCCTCGTGGCCACTCTGCTCAGCCTCGATCGTCTGGGGCGGCACGTGCCTGACCCGCTCGTTTTCCAGGCGCCCTCTTATCACGACGTCCCCCGCCCTCATAATGAAATCGTTTCAGTCTCAGCGGCTGTTGCAGCTCGACGCCCAGGCCAGCGGGGAGATTGGACTCGACGAGCCGCCAGACCCGTCGGTCATGCAGAACGCGCTGCAGGACACCGCGATCCCAGGCGACGCGTGCCAGACGCTGCTTCCCTACGGCTGCCTGTGCATTTGGTCAAAAGAAAAGATTGCCTCGGCAGGCTACGAGCGCGAAGTCGAATGCGAGTTGCGCATGGGCCCCGTGGGTTCTCTTCCCCACAGGCTCCTCGACTGCCCTGGAACCCACAATCTCAGGGGGAAAAGTTGAAAGATGGAGACATCGAGGAGCTACAGGGCCCGAGGAGAGGTTTTCCCTACGCGATGGGGTTTCAGCTTCGACCTGAACCTATAGCTCTGAGGCCCCCGGGACTAGGTCTCGATCAGGCGGAGCATTGGTCTCGCGATGGTCAGCCCAAGGAGGTGGCCATGGAAGGAGACATTTTTTATGGCGGCAGCGTTGTGAAACCTGGGCCCGCGGCCCAGGATGCCCCCGCCTGGCCCGTGGTTAGAATCGACGAGAAGGGCGGCCCAGTTGCTCGCCCCGCAGGCCCTGTGGGGGCCATCCTGGCCCCCACTTCGCCCGCTGCCGAACACTTAGGTTCCCTCGCTGCTGCGCCGTGCCCCCGAGCCGCGAAAGCGCGGGCGGGCGCTCAAGGCGCCCTCTCGGTCCGCCAGAGCCCGGGGGCTTGTAGGAAGGAAACGCGTTCTGGTGTTTCAGTTTTGGCCAAGGCCACAAACCATGTTAAGCCCCTCGGGATTGCGAAATTGAAGGCCCGCCAGGATCTGAGACCCTGGAAGCTGGCTCGAGGGGCTGGTTTCTTGCCGAGGGCAACGACTGGGCTGATGAGGTCGCCAGGCAAGCTGCGGCCCGAATACCTGCCCCGTTCCAGATGGAGATCGATTGCCATGCAGAAATTCGGAGTCGAATCCAACCGGGGGCGCTCTCCCTCTGGCCCCCTCTCGCCCCTAAGACGGGCGAGCCTCAGCCCCCTTGCGGGGGCGGGGGCAGCAGGGGCGGTCAAGCAGTGGACCGACTCCCTTCCACCACCAACGCGTCAGCCTCGGCGCGCTCGAGCGTGCCGCAACCCGCAGAGCGGCGCCAGGCACCAGCGGGCGTGGTTGAATAATCACTGGCTGCGCCTGGCTTGCCACACCCGTGCTAGAACTGATAGCGCCCGTAAGTCTCGCATGTTGACAACGTGCCAAAGTGATTGCGTTGCCTCGTCTTGCTAAATTCGGGACCCCCAGAAGCACACATTAATGATCTGCGACTGTCTTGATGTCGAGTCCTTCCGTGTAGTGCGCCAGCGATGCGGACGCTACACGGAGAGTAATCTCAGAGGATTCAAGACTGAATGTAAGGGGGAGCGCTTCCGAAGTAAGTTCTCCCAAGGCGTTTGGTCTCTACTGGCTGGCGGCCGACACCCCAACAGCAACATGTCGGCCGGCCCCCGGCTTTCCTTGCCAATCTTCGCCTTTCAATTCCTCATGGAAGGAGAGGCGAGGCAGGCCGCTTTCCTCGTGGAGGCAAGGCGTAAGTGGAGATCGGATGTAACCTCAAGGTTTCGGTTAGGGTCGGGTCGACCGAACCCTGGCCTTCCTTCAGCATGTGATGGTATTCATCCTCCTCCTCCTTTTCCTCCTCCTCCTCCTCCCCTTCCTCCTCCTCCTCCACCATTCCTTTTCCCTGTAAGCAATTTCTCCCTGTCGCATTCCGAGGCCAGTTTGTAGGTCGGGCGGGCGTTTCGCTTGAGACTCTTCACCACTTATGACTCTGAAGCTTCAAAATTGGCAACGCTTTCAAAAGGTGGCTCTCGCTTTAGCGCGGCGCACATTCGTCAAACATTGCAAGAGAGCTTCACAGCTTGAGGGCGGGTGGTTTTCAAAATGTGGCTCTCGCTTGAGCGCGGCGCATATTCGATTTAGACATTTGCCAGGGCATCCCGGATTGAGGGCGGGTGGTTTTCAAAATGTGGTGTTCTTTCTAGCGCGGCGAGCCTTCGATTTAGATATTTGCTAGGGGCTCACGGATTGAGGGAGAGTCATTTTCAAAATGTGGTTTTCGCTTGAGCGCGGCGCCCATTTGTTACAACAATTTGCAGGAGCTTCACGGATTGAGGGCAGATCCTTTTTCAAAAATGTGATTATCGCTTTAGCGCCGCGCACATGTCTTACAACATTTTCAAAAGTTCCACGGATTTCCATGATCAACGTACAAGAAATTGTGTTTTGGACGGATTCAAGACTTTGCGGGTGCAGCAATTACTATGTTGATTCACTGTGTCGAAGTCCTAGGACTGGCGTTCTGGCACGATTCAGGATCGTCAAGACGCAACGGTCAGGTTGATCTGTGGCGTTTGAATCCCGGGAACAATGTCTTGGCATGCTTCAGGGTCTTCAAACGGGTGCTTTCCAACGAGGCAGTTCCATCAATGGAAATGAACCGTTGCAGGGGCCTAGGAAGCTTGGAGGGAGGGTTTACTCCAACATCGTTGATGACTCTTGGGTTTACACTGGTCCTCCTCCTCCTCCTCCTCCTCTTCCCTCTCCGGCGCCCCTCTCAGCCATCACTCGTCTCCTCGCCTGCCTCCTCTCCGAGTCGCCCCGGTCGGCCACGTGTGCAGGCACGCGTGCTGCACGTGGCCAGACCGTGTGAGAGCGCCGAGCCGGCGGCCCAGGTGCCGCCGGCGGCCACGGACCGGGAGGTGTGGGTGGACCCGCTGCCGGAGGAGTCGCCTCCCCTGGCCCGGCTCTCCTCCCCGTCCTGCGCCCCCGCCAGTTCTGCATCCTCCTCCACCTCCTCCTCCTCCTCCTCGTCCTCCTCCTCCTCCTTGTTCTCCTCCTCCTCCTCCTCCTCCTCCTCCTCCTCCTCCTCCTCCGTGTCTTTCTTTTCCTCCTCATTCCTCCTCCTCCGTCTCCGTCTCCGTCTCCGTTTCCGTCTCCTCCGCCAGTTCCTCATCCGTGTGACACAGAGCGCTCGAGCGTCGAACTTCAGGTGGAATCCAAGCAAGGGTGTGGCCGCCCCATGGCTTCTGAGTCCGAATCCGACAGTGCCAAGCTGCATTCGGATGTTGAAATTCGCTGCCTCCTTTGGGGCGCGAGTCTGTGAATTCCCCTGCTGGACTGGAAGCTTACTACTGCTGTTCGTCTTCTGTATTCTGTCCTGCCTCATCCGTCCAGTCTATCGTCTCTCCAGTCCTTTCTTTTTTTCATCGACCAAGGGGGGCCGCAGCGCTAGGACTCGCAATCTTGGTGGGTGTCCATTTGCTTCATGGCTGCTCTCCGTTGCTACCCCATGATTTCTGTCAGGTCTCCAAGGTGGTTTCCAAGACGTCCCAGGAAAGCCACGTAGATGCCCAAGAGTTCTCCAAGACGAAACGGTACGCCATAAGAGGGCTCGGCTCACCTGGCATTCCAAGAGGCTCCAATCAGCGCCAAAAGTTTTAAATTTATTAAGTAGCCTGAAGGAAGTCCATGTGTTCCGCGGACCAGGCTCTTTGCTTCAAGACGGCCGACAGAGAGCCCAAAGAGGCCTCAAGAGGGCCTCGAGACCGCCCAGGACGGCCCAAGAAGCGCCCCAAGACTGCTCAAGATGCCCGTGGTCCGCTGGGTAGCCGCGCATAGGTTCCAGCCGTGCATGCCGTCGCAGCTCAGAGTTGTCTGGATGGTGGCGATAATCTCGCTGTAGTTGTAGAGCTCGTCGTAGAACCCTCTCACCTGCGCCCCCATACAAGTCCTTGCTGCGTGAGGTCGCGCAATAGCAGCATCTGGACGCTGTCGTCCCGTACTTCCTCCGTCTCGCCGAGGCGCTCCGATGCCGCCCCGATGTGCGCCCGACGGCGATGTTGCCGGCCTCCGAGTGCCTAGCGCCCCGCCGCTCCGCCCAGCGGACGACACAACCTCCCGCGCGGTGCCATCGGTCAGGCTGCTCGCTGCGCCAGAGAACCCGCGGGTGATTGCTCTTGTGCACTCTGGCGCGTAACGGTCGTCACCCGGGCCACCACCGCCCCCCGGTGAAGGTAACGACCGTACGTGGGGAGGGGGGGCTCGGACCCCCCTGCTGGTGTCCGAAGGCATGTTGTGCTGCTCGCAGGTGTTCCGCAGGCGCCCTGCTGGTCCTCGCGGGCGCCCCGCTGGTGATCTCAGGCTTTGCGCGGGTGATCGCAAACGGGGGTACAATAAACGGAGGCATATGGAAAAACCTAAGCCCCCGTTTAGCTAGACCCCCGTTTACGAAGCCCCGAGGGGTCCCAAAGCCGGTCGGCTGTCGAGTAGGGGATCGACTGCAGAATCGACTTACCCCAAAAAGCGGAGTTGTTCGTCGAGCATACGAATCCGAGCACAGTATATGACTACCACCACCAAGATCGAGAATAATCTGCGATGCGATTTGGTGCAGTTTTGCTTTGGTGAAAAGCCCGTAGCCCCCTCCCGCCGCCCTCGGCAAACGGGCTGCCCTCTCTCTCTTGAGGACGGACACAGAATTCATCAAAGCACGCGCGGTGGTGGTGTATATAATTTTGGTTACCAAGAGGAGCGATTTTTATACACCACCACCAAGAAGTGCTGTTTCTGCTCCAGGGACTCCCCATGCCAGGCGCCTGCGAGCTGCGCCGCGCTCCTTTTCGCCGTGGCGTCGCAGCGTCGTCTGGCATGACTCTGCCCCTGACCCTTTTTGCGGTCAATTTTTGTTACGCGCGGTGGTGGTGTATAGACATTGACCTCGCACGAAGAGCACGTCGACCGTTCGTCGAATCGGCAGCCCTTCGACATATCGTCGCGCACTCGACGAACAAAAACAAGCTCGGGGCAGATCGATGCTGTCGTCGACCCCCTACGGGGGAAAACGACGGGGAGGGCCTCCGCTATCTCGACGTGCCGCCCCCTTTTTTGGCCACGCCGCGGCCGCCCGCCGCCGCGCGGGCGAGAAGAGCGGGCTTGGCGGCCCTCGGCAGCTCCTGCTCCGATGTTCGGCGGCGAGCGAGGGGGGGAGGAGGAATCTCCCCCCCTCCTCCTCCTCCCCCTATCCCCCTCCTGCCGCTGCGGGCCACCCACGGTCTGTCCGCGTAGCCCTGCCGCGCGCGCCCGACGCGCGCGGCAGGCGTGCCCAGTTTTGCACCGAGCACTCGCTACGGTACCAAGCCTCGGAACACGGCCTCTAAGCCCAAGACCCCGCCAAAGGAAGAGGGAGGAACCGAAACAGCTACAAAAACAACCTCAGAAGGCTTCAAGAGGGGGGGGGAGGCGGGTGTTGTTTGTTTGCGATCTCTCCGATGGCGCACCGCAGCTCACCGAGGTCAATAGTCCAGTGCTAGCGAGCCTGCAGGGCTGCCAGCACAGTCCGCTGCTCGGCTGGTGGGAGAGGAACAGCCTTCCCGTCGCAGTCTTTGACTGTTGTACGGGTTCTCTCCCCTCAAGAGCTTGCCTCGACGACATTTGGCCTGCGCATTGGCAGGCTCTCCCTCGCAGGGCAGGCAGAGCTTCTTGGCCCTCCCGCTGGAGAAGACCCCGCAATTGCCACAGAACGCAAATCCTCCAGCACGCAGGAGCACGTGCTGGCGGCTGGGTGGCCCATGCGAGGGTCTCGCGGGCAGCACAAAACGGGCCGCCCTCGCATGCGCGTTCCTGCAGGGCGTGCGAAAGAGCGCACGCATGCCCTGCGTCGTCCGTGAGAACCTACCGCACTGCTGACACCTCCAGGCCTTGCAATCCCAGACCAGGGTGCGAGGGTGGGCCCCAGGGGGGGGGGGGGGGGGGCGAGCACGCCGACGAAATCTCACCCCACTCCGCTCCTGAACCTGGCGGCCAGTGGCGTCCTTGAACGCGCCTACTTGCGTGGTCATGCACGCCGCAAAATTACACATATTGGCTGAATATCTGGAGCGCTGGCGCCAGACCTGCTTCAACCACTCGGGGAGGTCGTGCAGGGCAGCGCCCTCCTTGGCCGGCTTGTCCGCCTGCGCATTTCCCAAGACATCGAGGCGGGCCTGGCCGAAAAGGGCGTCGGGGTCGCGGCCCGAGTGGGCCTTCGCCTCGACAACTTCGAGCGCGCCAGGTTCTTGGTACTCGTCCCGAACGAGCATCCAGATGCGTCGCCGCAGATCGGCACGAGGGCGCCCGGCTTTCGCGCGCCAGGTCTCCCCCCTCAGGAAGCCACGGCGCACAGTATCGTTGTCAACCGCGACCCGTTAATTCCGCTCTCTGGACCGAGCCCAGGAGACGAGGTCCTCCCAGGGTGCCGCGACCAGCCTTGACGACGCGACCGCCCCCGTCGAGAAAAGCAAATCCCCAACCGAACGACTTGCACCCTGGGGGGCCAATCCCCGATCCATCGGAGCACGCGAACCCCGAAGTGAGGGGATCGTCGCCGAATTCAATGTCCAGCCCCTCGTGGTACCCCTGGACATGCGAAAAGGGGTCGTCGACAGGGTGGGCCGTGAGGCCTCGCGAAAACAGGAGGGATGAGGGCGGTGATTCCAACGTTCTCGCCGCTCTCTGGGCAATATCTGGCACTTCCTCAGCCGCGACGCTGCGGGCTCCAAATTGAGACCTGGGCACTTGCAGAAACGGTGGTGCTGCGTGCCTTCGGGCGCTTGACAGAGTTGGCACTCGCGTGAGTCGCTGTGCCTTGCCTTCCAGACCTTGTCCTGAGTCCAGAATGAGTTACACGCAAAGGCCAACGCGGCCTGCTGGCGCCCAGGGTAGTTTCGTCGCTGCCGAAGCGCAGCGCGGGTAGGCTCCAGGAAGGGCCGACAAAACCTGAGGCCCCTGGCTGAAGCCCGCGCGGCGAGCCCCACTGCTTCGAGCCTGGCCGTCGCAAGCCCCTTCAGGGCCGCGGGGGCTGCGCGTCACGGGGTCAACGTGGCGAAGCCGCAGTCTCAGAGTACGGTCCTTACCGATAGCAGCACCTCCAAGACTACTCGCCACTAATTGCCTCGTCCTGTTGAGCTTGCTGGGGTCCATGCCGAAGCAAGAGGTGCCGCACGTGAGGGAAGGGATCAGGCCACAGCGAACAACCTTACCCACTCGCGCCCCCTGCCGAGCGCACGCCGTTATCTTGCGCTTCCGCTTGAGAGCAGTCTGCTCTCGGCCCCAGATACGCCCTCGAACTCTCACTAGCTTGCCACCAGCGCTGTCTACGCTGAGCTGATCACTAAAAGATTTAAACTCGAGGCCGAAGCGGCCTGCCCAGTGCTTGCACGCCTGGCGCGCGCGGCGAGAGGCTGACATAATGAATCCCTTGCCTGCCGCGCCACCAGCGCGGCGGCGAGAGACGGGGGGGCCGTCGCCCTCGATCTGGTCGATACAGTAGGCGACCGCATCTCCCAATTCTTCCGAAATAGTGATAGGATCTGCTCTGCGCTGGAGGCTGACGTCATCAACATACAGGGCGATGTACATGCGTGGCCAACGTGCCATGATGTGATCCAGAACTCTGATGACCACCATCTTCAGCGCGCGAGCACCTACGGTGCTGCCTGCCACAACGGCGGAATAGGTGGTGCCACTCTGAGAACTAGTGACTCCCCTGAAAGCCGGGGGGGGCGGGGCCCGCGGGGCCGCAGGTGCGACGCCGAGGCCTGGCACGCTGGGCCCCACCGACCACCGCCTCCATAGTGGAAGTGGACCTTCGCCACGCGAATGCGACGCGGGGGTGGCGGCGGGGGGGCCAAATTCTTGCGCGCGAGCGGGCCCCCCCCCCAGGCAGGAGGGAGAAGAGGCGGCATGC